GCTGTTACTCAGGCTACCCTGTTTGGGCGGAGTTGCCCTGCGCCCCTGTGGCGGGGGATGGGCTCAGTGGGAATCAGTCTTTGGGGCTTTTGTTCTCTGGCGCCTTTCCCTGGTGGCTTTCTGCGTCTCTTCCGTGAGTCAGACCAGAAGAGACCGTTTCCAACCCTCTGCCTCAGAGCAGAGAGACCGCAGTCTGTTCTTCAGTGAGCTCTCCAGGCCACACTGTCTCCATTTCTGTCCGTGCTGCTATAAACTGCAGTGTCCTGGGTTGTGCACCCCTCCGCAACGCCCCCAGTCCTGCCTCCAGGTCGGGGCACGTCTCTGCCCTTTGTGCTTCTAAAACCGCCACCCGCTCCTAGGTCGCGCGCGTGCGCGTGCCCGCGTGCCTCCGCCGCTTGGGGTCCTGTCCCGGGGACTGCAGTTCACGCGCGCGCGTGACTCCGCTGCTTGGGGTTTCCGTCTCAGAGGCTGCAGTTCGCATGCGTGCGACCGTCGCTCCGGTTTCTGTCCGGGGGGCTGTGGTTCGTGTGCGTGCGACCCTGCCGGTCTGGTCCTCCACCCCGGGGGCTGTCCTACTAAAGTCCTTTCCTGACGCTACCGGTCTGCAAGTCTGTGCCCGTCCGCAGCGCGCAAGGCTGTCACTCACTGGCGGTGTAGGATCCCCACGGCCCGGCACCCTCCCGCCGCCGTTTATCCTCCTATATCTGCCCGCAGAATCACGGCTCTCCGCTTCGTACCTCAAAACCAACCGCCTGCGATATTCTGTTTGTAGAGATCCAGATCTTCTTACATCTCAGGCTGGTTTTGTGGGTGCTCAGAGTGGTCTGGTAGATATCCAGTTCAATTCTGGGGACCAGTTGAAATAGGGTACCCTACTCCTCCGCCATCTTTCACCCCTCCCAGAGGCCTTTTATCGCAAGGGGAAATGAGACTCTTTGGGGTGAGGTTTCTCAAGTGAGTTCCTGTAGTGTTTTTTCTCTTCTGCTAGCCTTCTCCTACTTCTCATTGATCTCAGAAAATGATCTGTTCAAATCTCTCTCTCTCTCTTTTTTAATTGAGATATTCACATACCAAAGAATCCACCCTTTTAAAGTGTACAATTCACTGGTTTTCAGTATATTCACAAAGTTGTGCCACCTTCACCAGTCTCGCTCCCCTCTCCCCCATCTGCTTTCTGTCTCTATGGATTTGCCTGTTCTGGATACTTCATATAAAGAGAATCACACAACATGTGGCCTTGGGTGTCTATCTTCTTTTGTTAGTGTGGTGTTGTCGAGGTTCATCCACATTGTAGCGAGTGTCAGAGCCTTGTTCCTTTTTAGGGCTGAATACTGTTCCAGTGTATGGGTAGACCATGTTTTGTTTGTCCATTTGTCTATGGACAGACGTTTGGTTTGTTTCTACTTTTTGGCTCTTGTGAATAGTGGGTATGTTTTCATTGCTCTTGGGTTGACACTTAGAAGTAGAGTTGCTGGGTCTTTTACTGAACTTTTGGGGGAAATTTACTGAACTTTTTGGGGAACCACCAAAGTGCTTTCTCAGACAGGTGCACGCACCATTTTACATTCCCACCAACAGTGGTTGAGGGTTCCAGTTGCTCCACATCATAACCACACTTATTGTCCAGTTCCTCATGAAAGTGAACATTTCTCTGTGTGTTCTTTGTCTAATTGCTTCTTACTTATTTCTCTGATAAGGCTGTCTTTCTGGCGACATCTGTCTCAAACCCCAGAAGACATAGTTTCTCATCCCTGCCCACCCCCGCTCCTGTCACTGCCAGATTCCACACACAGCTGTATTCTTCAGAGTCTCCCTTTGCTCACTGATGCCTTCTTCCCTTTTAGTACCGTCCCAAGTTTAGGCTCAATATTTAAAAAACAATATTTTAAAACAATAAATACTTAAATATTTATTTTGGTCAATTTCATATCACTATTTCTGAAAGAACTTAATTTTTTTTTCTAATTCATTTTAGACTGGGAATCTCAAATCCAAAGTGTCGACTCCTGTGCAGGATATTTTGGAGGAAAATTCATCCCATGATATGCAAATGGTAAGATTCATGAGGGATTATCCTTATTCCCTCTTGGGAGAAGTTGAGGAATTTGTGAGTTGGAAATGCACACCAGAGCCAGGGAGACATTTGGGGCATTTCCTCAAGGACATTCCCACATGGTCTGAAGGGAGTGGCCATGACTCCTGAATTTGGGTAAACCCTTTCTGTCACTCAAGACCCTTCTTCGAATGTTCTCCCAAGTAAACATTGCCATCAGTGTGAGTCAGACATTGATTGTGTGCAGTATGATTTACTCCTCAACAGTCATGGGAAACTCCTGCCTTTTGGAGAAGCCCCATGGAAATCACGAATGGGAGAAAGCCCTCAACGTCCTTGAGCCCTCAACCTGCCTAAGCGAGGTGCATCTCTGAACGTGCTAGAAACGTGCCTCGACAGGGAGGGGAGCAGCCCTGGGCGCTCTGCGGGTGTTGGTGGGGTTTTTGTCGTCACTCACCCCTGGCCAGGAGCAAACTCTGCCTGGAGAGTTGATTCAGCCGCATCCAGAATGGCTTCAGGAGGTACTCTAACGACCTGACAAGAGAACCGTGGGAGAGAGGGTCACCCTGACTGCAAGGGATGTGGGAGAGCTGTTGCGGACCCCTCTCCACGTAGGAGACAAATCGAGATCTCACAGCAGAAATAAGCCCCTGTCAAAGCGTGCAAGAGCCTTTAGAGCTGGCTGGTGCATTCCAGTGTACCAGGGAACAGACTGAGCCCCGCTGCTCCCACCTTGGCCCTGAGTTCCTGCCTCCCCACACTGGAGGAATTTCCCAGGTTTGGGTTCCCGTTCTTGGGGATTTCAAAGGTGAGGGTTAGGGTGTGGATAGAGGGACATGTAGAGCCCAGTTTCACCCCCAGGCTGGGCCTGTTTGTCCCGGAGCCAGTGAGATCTCTGGGCTCCCTCAGTCTGTGCCCCTCCACCTCTGTCATGGATGGTGTCAGACTCATGGTGAAGAGACGCCAGCCCAGTGGATGGGGTGGCAGGGCCTGGATGGTAGAGACCCGTTTCATTGCTTTGCTCTGAGCATGCGGAGCCTCAACCCTGCATAGCCTGGTGTGGGCTGCCGGGCAGCTGAAAGCCTCACCCCTGCATGGCTCGCATCAGACCCCAGGGCAGCTGAGACACTCCTCACTGCTCAGGTCCTCCTCACCGTTGGTTCACATTTTTGTTTAGGTGGAGAATGTCCTCCAATAGCTGCTTGGGAAAGGGCGTGTTGCTTTGGAGACCCTGAGGTCTGAAAATACCTCACTGGAGCTGCTGGATTGCAGGGGCCTCATCTGACAGGATCGTTGCAGTAACCCCATGCAGAGCACTCTGTGCATCATCACAGAGCCCTCAATTAATGCTTGTTCAGTGAAGGCGCGAACACAGGTACTCCAGGCCATCACCGCCCCCCTGTCCTGATTAGCAGATGGACCCTGTGAGGGAGGGAGGGAGGAGGACCCACAAGGGACAGCTGTCCTCTCGAGTTTCTGTGGGCTCTTTCCTCTTAGTATGGATTCTAGCACCTTCCACAGAGTTTCATTCCTAGCTCAGCCTTGAGCACTGGGTGTCGGAGAGGAGGGGCTTCTGCTGCATCTGAGCCTCAGGAAACAAGGAAACGAGTGGTCACAGAATGTTCTGAGCGGGCAGAGGAGGTCTACCCGGACACACATGTGGAGAAGCTGAGTGGGTCATCCATGAAGACACACAGCCCATAAGTGGTACAGTCACATTTGGAGCTGGGAGTCAAATCCAGGATGCAGATCTCTAATTGCAGAGATTGCTGTTCTAGCTGCCAGGATCTACCGGCTGGGAATTGTACAACCCGCCACGTGGTTAAAGGTGCTGATGGTTCAGCTAGCCCTTCCGGGCATCAGTGGGCCTCATCCTCATCCTCAGCTCTGAGGCCTCCCTGTCATGTGAGGATAAGGCCTTGTGGCCTCCCCCTCATGGCCAGCTAGGCCAGGGGAGGACAGGAACATAGAGGGCTGGAGACTGCTCCCAGAAGAGCCCCAAAACAGGCTGAGCCAGTGGTCTCCAGGCTCAGCCCTTCTACTGTCCTAGCCCCCCTTGCCCCCATGCCGTGTCCCCTCCACGCTGTTTCAGGGCAGGGGGATATTGGCTTGCGTGAGCGTTGGATAAGGACAGGGTTCAGAGGATGGGCTGTGGATGGCAGGGCAGATGTAAATAGCTCTGGCCAATAGTTTGGTCCTGCGACTGATGGCTGCCAAATAGACAAACACAGACTAAGAAAACAGAACAACATTCATATTCAGAGCCGAGGGCTCCTAGCCCTTCTTCAGTGAAGCGTATTGCAGTGCCTCTGAGAGCCTGTGGCCTAACCCCCTAACCTAACCCCCAGAACCAGAAAGGGTCAGGTTCACCTCTGCGTCTGCGGCATGATCAGTCCTTGAGACCCTCAGTGGCTGGGGCCCACAGTGGAGTAGGGGGAGTCACCAGGTCTGAAGCTGCCAGACCTGCATACCTGCCTTGTGACGGCACTACCCCAAATCTGAGGGTCCTTCAGGCCCAGAGCAGCCTCAGTGCCACCTCTGTCCTGTTCAGTCCCCTCCGTGCCTTCTCCTAGGGGCCAGGGCTGGACCTGAGAATGCAGATAAGGCCCACAATTGGAGACAGGGGGACACCTTCAATTCCAGAGGACCATCCGGCTCTCTGGGTGTCACCTTGGTCTTCTGGATATACAGTAAGCCAGGGAGGATGTTTGCTGTGAGGGCCCAATGCCAGCCAGGAAGGCCCGCGGTTCAGGATTTCTGCCCATCACCTGCCCTGAGGGACCTGCCACATTTTCTTCCCATCCATCACCAAGTCCTGCGAGCTTTTCCCCCCCGAAATATAATTTATCTCTGACTGCTCCTGCTGTCCCCACTGCCACCACCCTGCCCAGAGCCACTGTTAGTTCTCCGGGACCCCTGGAACTGCTCCCTACAGGTCCCCGTTTCTACTGGGCCCCACCCTGGACACAGAGGCTAGAGATAGCCCTTAGAAATGCAAGTCAGGTTCCCTGAGGGAAAAGCCGCCAGTGGAGGAGAGTTCAGATCCTTTCTCCCACCACAGGGCTTCCTTCCAGGAATAACTTACTGACCATCCTCATGCGTGGAGGTCCACCTCCTCGTCCCCCCACTACCCCTCAGCCTGCTGGCCATCCACGCCCCTCTTTGCTCCAGCGTTTCCCCCCGCTGCTGGAGGCTCCTCAGAGGTTGCCTCCGCCCAGCCCGGGCCCCCTCTCGATTCCTTTTTGAAGTTGAAATTCTATCACAGTGATTAGTTTTGTACCCACGGATTGGATTAATCTGGACAAGCTACACTGGGCGTGTCTCAGTTATCAGTGTGTTTCCATAGCAGGGTCAGTCTTGCAAATTCGGTCAGGGTGAGGAGCTGGGAGCGTATTCCATTGACCGTGTGACTCTGATCTGTCCCTGTCACGCTGTCTAGGGGCTGAAAGTGGCCGTGCAGATTCAGAGGGCGGCCATGCCAGTTCCTGCACTGGGTGTTCCTGAGCTGGGGACGGCCGGGGGTTCTGGTGAGTGAGCGCCAGTGGAACTGGCAGCCTGGGGGTCCCCGCCTGTGCTGTGTTGTGTCCGGGAACTTGCCCCGCCCCCCCTTTCCTCCGACCGCAGGCATTTCCCTGTACTGGAAGGAGAGAATACATAAAGTCATGTCACCGTTCTTTATGCATTCAAGAGGAAAGGCACCTTTTCAGGATTGTGGGCTGGGAATCTTTTTGGTTTTTTTTTTTTTTTTTTGGTCTTTGGTCTTTCTGTTAAGAAAGAGCAGATCCCCTTCAGCTGTGGCCAAGTCCAGACCTCTTTTTGGGCAAGGTTAAATTCTCCACAGTTATGTTGATGCTGAAGATGACAGTTGAATTTACTGTAAATGGCATATGTTTTAACTGAGTTTATAAAGAATGAGGTTAAAACAAACCACATGTCCTGAGAAGTGGGGGAAGAATTAATTCCGGGGGACAAATAACATCTTAGCTATAAGTTCAAGGCATTTATCTCCTTCCATCTTGCCTTCTAGTGAGAATAATAAACTTTGTTTCTGAACAATATCATTCAGGCTTGCATTTGGAATCTCTTACATCATTGACAGGAAGTAATTCTTAGATTATGTTATGTGTTGCTCTTCTGTGTATTTTTGGTAAGCTTTCTGGCCAAGGCTTTGCCTTGAAGTCCTCTTGAAGTACTTGGAGTACCCTGTGCTCTTGAAGTACGACTCTTCAGGTGCTCTAGCTGGCCACCCTGTGGTGAGGTGGGCACTGGGAGACAATCTCAAACAAAACATTGGCCCCCTCCGCGTGGAGCTCACAGTCTGCCTGGGCAGTCAGATTTTTCAACGAAGACCAGAATACAATGGAAGCATGTAACACGAGGACTTTATCTTGGGGGCAGAGAGGAGTTTCTGGAAACTGGAAGTCAGACCATGGGTTCTCAGCTGCAGCACCACTGACATCGGGGCCGGATCCTTCTCTGTGGTGGGGCCATTCTGTGCACCGTAGGATGTTTAGCGGCATCCCTGACCTCCAGCCACTAGATGCCAGTAGCGCCTCCTGTACTGGTCCACCAGGGCCACCGTAACAAAGTACCACAGACCGAGTGGCTCAACCACAGAAACTTGTTTGCTCACGGTTCTGGAGGCCAGAAGTCCAAGATCAAGGGATTGGCAGGGTTGGTTCTTCTCAGGGCTGTGGTCTGTTCCAGGCATCTCTCCTTGGCTTATAGGTGGTTGTCTTGCGTTTTCTTTTTCTGTATGTGTCTCTGTTCAAATTTTGTTTTCTTATAAGGACACCAGTCATATTGGATTAGGGCCCACCCAACTGACCCCATTTTAATGACCTCTTTAAAGACCCCATGTCCAAATATGGTCCTATTCTGAGGTACTGGGTATTTTTTTTTTTTTTAAAGATTTTATTTATTTAGTTGGCAGAGAGAGAGCACAAGTAGGCAGAGTGTCAGGCAGAGGGAGAGGGAGAAGCAGACTCCCTCCTGAGCAGGAGCCCAATGTGGGACCCCGGGATCATGACCTGAGCTGAAGGCAGACGCTTAACCAACTGAGCCACCCAGGCGCCCCTAGGTACTGGGTATTAATTAGGACTTCATCCTATGAATTTTTAGAGGGACACAATTAAGCCTGTAACAGCCCCTAGTCATGACAGCTGAAAATGTCTCCAGAAGCTGTGGCTGGTCCCCACTCCCCTGCCCACCAAGATCATATGCTGAAGCCCTAACCTCCCATGTGACCATATTGGGTGGAGGCTGGGCCTTGAAGGAGGTGGTTAAGGTTGCAGGAGGTCATAAGGGTGGAGCCCCAATACCATAGAACTGATGTCCTTGTAAAAAAAGGGAGAGACACCAGAGCTCCCTGCCAAGTGAGGACACAGTGAGAAGACTTTTGTGTATAAGCCAGGAAGACCGCTCTAACCAGCCCGACCATGCTGGCACCGTGCTTTCAGACTTCCAGCCTCCAGAACTGTGAGGAAGTAAGTTTCTACTGTTTAAGCTGCCCTGTCTGTGGTATTTTCTTATGCAGCAGAGCTGACTGAGATACCGGACTTTGCCACATGTGCCCTGGGGGATGAGTATCGACTTAGACCATGATATTTACTGTATCATTTAGTGTGGCAAGATGTTGAGGTGTTGTGAGAAGGCTTGGGGGGAGGATTTCAGACCTAGGAATGGCATCTGTAAAATTCCTCCCGGAGGGGAGGCAGGCAGGCAGAGAGCCTGGTGTGCCCGGGGGCCCACGGAAGGCTGTGTGAAGGGAGCAGAGGGAAGGGGAGAGTGGTGTGAGCTGACTGCAGATGGTTGGGCTCCAGATCATTCAGGGCCTGGAAGCATGGGAGGGGAATCTGGGCCTGTGTGCTTAAGCTGCCGGGAGCCAGGGATGTGTTTGGGTGAGTGGTGCCGTGCATCTGCAGTTTTAGCAGAACCCTCCAGCACCTGGGAGGTGGCGGGGCCTCAGGGAGGATCTGAGCGGTGGGTGGAGGCAGTGAGGAATGGGGTGGCAGTGGCCTCGACCAGCGGTGAGTGCGGAGTGGGTGTGGCGGGGTCCCTGAGACCACGCCCGGTTGTGGCCATTCGCTAGGACTCCTAGGCCTCGGCCCACAGTCGTACTTATGGTGGTGATTTATCACAGTGAAGGGGCGCAGAACTCAGTCCCCTGGAGCATTAGGTGAAGTCTGGGGGAGTCCAGGCACGAGCTTCCGGAGTCACACAGGACGTGCTTAATACCCCCAGCAATAAGCTGTGACAACACACGTGAGGTGATGTCTACCAGGGAAGCTCAGGAGAGACTTGGCGCCCAGGCTTTTCACTCGGGGCTGGTCACGTCGGCACCCTCTGCCCAGCATGAACCTGACTCCTGTCAGCAAGTGCCGGACTCCTGGAAGGAGAGCAGGCGTTCAGCACAAACCACAGTGTTCATAGAAACAGTTTAAAAAGAGTGAGCCCCTCTTGCCAGTTAGGGTGGAGGGAACCCTCTGGAGATCCATGTTCCCAAGGGCCAGCAGGCAGGCCTGTTGTGTTAATTCTTGTCTACAGGGTAGGGATTTGCGGAATGATTTAAGACATAGGCAGGAGGTTGATTTGAGATAATTTGGTGAGTCCTGTATGCTTTCATTTACCAGACAATCCAGAGCATTCATGTGCCAAGCGCAGTGCGGGACGGGCGGGGGTGAAAGGAAAGGGAACCCAGGCTTGTTCTTCCGAAGCTTCTAATCCTGCGAGGGTGGCAGAAAATGCACACCTAAGGAAGCCAGTAACCATGTGGTTACAAATAGGCAGGGGCTGTGAGGAAAGGGGAAGGGTCCTTCTAGAGAAAAGAAGGATACTGAGGAGGGGAGGCACTCTGAGGGAGTGAGTGACCTTTCAGTGGATTCAAAAAGGAAAGGCCTGCTGTGGCGTGAGCCATGGTGGGGACTGGGGTAGGAGGAAAGGGAGTGGGGTGGGCGGGGGTCGGGAGAGATGAGTACTCCCTGTAGAGATGTCATCACTGAGGTGGTGTTTTTTTTTTTGGTTTAGTTTTTGGATTTTGTTTTTTTTTTTTTTTTTTGGATTAATTGTTGGGGTCTGCAGAGTGTCAGGGGCGAGATTTCCCATCTGAGGCAGGAATGTCGCTTCCTGAGATCAGGGACACTGGAAGAACAGCCTTTGAGAGTAAGGTGATGAGCACATTTTTTTGAGGGGGGATGAGACAACAGAAATTCATATCTCACATTTCTGGAAGCCGGAAGTCTCCAGTCAGGGTGTTTGGCAGGGCCGTGCTTCCTGTGAAGCCTGTGGGGAGGCTCCTTCCTGGCAATCCCTGGTGTTCCTTGGCTTGTAGCTACATCGCTGTGTCGTCACAGGGCCCTCTCCCCTCCTGTGTCCCTGCTTCTGTCTTTTCTCCTCTTTGTAGGACACTAGTCATATTGGGTGTGGGGACCATTCCACTCCACTGTGACTTCATCTTAGCTAATCACATCTGCAAAGATCCTGTTTCTAAATAAGGTCACATTTTGAGGTAGTGGGGGCTTACAACTTCATAATTTTGGGGGGACACAATTCAACCCATAACGGTCAGCCCTCTGATCCCCCTCCCCCAAATTCATGTCCTCTCCACATACAAAATACAGTCAGATGATCTTGACACCCCTAAAGTTTTTACCCATTCCAGCATCAACTCTAAGTCCCAAATCTCATCAACTCAGAAAGTCCCCAAGTCCATATGAATCATCTAAATCTGGCATGGGTGAGACTCGGGTTGTGGTCTCTCCCAGGGGCAAAATTCTTCTTCATCTGTGAACCTGTGAAATGAGAAAACAAGTCCTCTGCTTCCAAAAGACATCGGTGGGACATGCGCAGGGTACACGCTCCCTCTCCCAAAGGGAGAGAAAGAAGGGGTTATGGGTCCCAAGCAGTCTCGAAACCCAGCAGGGCAAGTTTAAGGTCTGCAGCGGCAGCAGCCCTGCCCCCCAGCTCACTGTGGTCGTAAGGCAGATTCCCCAGACAGGTGAGTGGGGACCTGAGCTGATGGTGTGGAGGTGGGTCTGGAGTTCAGGGGAGAGAATCAGCCTGGGGGTTTGGGCCCGGTCAGCCGGGCTGGGACCTGATGCCCAGAGCGGGCGAGGCTGCCTGCGAAGGCAGAGGCTGAGGGAAGTGAGAGGGGTGAGGGATGGAGGAGGGTGTTGTACAGGAGACAGAAGGAGCTGGGGCTGTGGTCACTTCAGGGTGGAGGGATTAGATGACTGCACGCATTGACTGGATCGCCACCAGGGATGGGGGGTCACTGGTGGTCTGAGTGAGGCGCCTGTCCTTGGAGTGGTGATGATCATGAGTAAGCAGGAGGTGAGGAAATGGACGGTGGGTTGGTTGCCCACAGTGGGGAACAAAAACAGTATGTAGAGGGAAAAGCAGAGTGTTTTGGCTTAAATTGTGGCCCCCCAAAAAGGCATATTGGAAGTCCTAATTAGCTGCCAGTACCTATGACTGTGACTGGGACCTTACTTGGAAATAGGTCTCTGCAGCTGCCATCGAGTTAAGGTGAGGTCGGGATGGGGCGGGGTGGGGGAATCTCATCCAGTGTGACTGGTGTTCTTTTAAGAAGAGAAACATGCGGGGCGCCTGGGTGGCTCAGTCGGTTAAGCGTCTGCCTTCGGCTCAGGTCATGATCCCAGAGTCCTGGGATCGAGCCCCGCATTGGGCTCCCTGCTCAGTGGGGAGCCTGCTTCTCCCTCTGTCTCTGCCCCTTCTCCCTGCTCTCTGTCAAATAAATAAAATCTTAAAAAAAAAAAAAAGAGAGAGAGAAACGTGCCAGGGGGAGACAGGGACACAGAGGGGAGAGGACAGCCATATGATGACAGACGCAGAGATCAGACGGACACAGCTGCAGGCCAAGGAGCACCCAGGATTCCAGACAGCCACTGCCAGGAGCCAAGAAGAGGCAAGGAGGGATTCTGCCCAGAGCGTCAGAGGGAGCGCGGCCCTGCTGACACCTTGGTCTTGGACTTCTGGCCTCCAGAACCGAGAGAGAATACGCATCTGTGGCTTTAAGCCTCTCAGTTTGTGGTATTTTGTTACACCAGCCCCAGGAGGGGAATATGTGGGGTCAGAGATTGGACATGGCTCAGGTTTTCTTTTTTTATTATCTGCAATTTATTTTATTTATTTGTATGATATGCATTATTTTTTAGGTCAGGATTGATTTCTGAGGGGGAGGGTCCCGTCGCAGTGGGAGGTGAGGGTGCAGGGAGACAAGAGATGGTGTGTGTGGGGTCACTTGCTCGTCTGTAATAGGCTGAGCCAGGAGGCCCCGGGTCGGGGGTGGAGGGGTGTGGTTGATTTGAAGGCAGGAAGGGGAGATGCTGCCTTCTCACAGGCAGACTTGGGGTGTGGGCAGCTTCTCTGTCCCCTCCTTGTGGTAAGTCCTGGGGTGCTACTGGCCCTGCAGAGTGGGGCAGAGGAAGGGGCCGAGCAGCTAGGGAGGAATGCTAACCCAGGGCTGAATCAAGGGGCAGTGGGGGGTGCGCCAGAAACTCCAGAGGCTGTTGGTGAATTGAGACCTTGACTCCAGGATTTGGAATGGAAAAAACATGCACGTGTTTGTGCGTGTTTGCACGTGTGTCTGTGTGTTTGTGTGCATGTTCTTCTCAGTATGTGTATGTGCATGTGTACGTATGTTTTGCGTCTGTGTGTGTATGTGTCTGCATGTTTGTGTGAATGCACGCACGTGTGTGTGTGAGTGTGCACGTGTCCCTAAGTGTGAGCGCGTGCAAGTGCATGTGTGTGTCTCTTGTACGTGTGTGTGTCCCTGTGAGTGTGCACATATGTGTGTGCATATGGGGTCACTCACAGTCGGGGTGGGCAGCCTTTGGTCCTGTGGGTGTGCTCACGGGGCCTCCTGGCCTTCCCTCCTTTCCTATAGCTCTGCTTGCCCCGGACCCCGTCTGGCTCCAGCAGGAGGGCACAGAGGACGAAGCTGTGGCCCCGGGGGTACTGATCACCTGTCTGCGGGTAAGTAAGAAATCCCTGTTGCTCTTCTTGCTTGGGCCCTTGTGCTCTTCCCTTGGACTAGAGCTTCTCGACCCCACAGGGCTGGTCTCCAGGCCTCCAGGCACTGGACCTCCCGTAATATGTGTCAGGGGGAGGTGCATGGGCCATCCCAGGCAGCAGTCCCACTGCTTCATTCAGACCTTCTCTAGCTGTGGAGTGCCTCGTTCTGCTGAGCATCAGGAGGGAAAACAGCAAGGATGTGAGCTGTCCTTGCCTCCTAGTCTTCACGGTTTCTCGGGGCAAACAGTTGTCATTTACTGAATACTTCTCTCTTGCCGGCAACATGCTCAGGTCCGCTGGATCCTGGAGCTGGAAGGGAATAAAACTGCCAGGGCTTCCTGGCTAGTTGCCAGTGGCTCAGTCCTTTGATGCCACATGTCTGGATGCTGTCCCTCAGGGAGGAATGAGTAGATAGAGGAGTGTTCTAGTTCTGGGGTCTGAGTCAAAGGTCTGAGAATCCTCTGCATGGGTCTCCCTTCCCCAGACTGCTGGCCCCCTCGCCAGCCTCCTGAGTACTGGCGGGGGTGGCCCCTGGCTGAGCTGCGATGGGTGTGTGTTTCAGGAACCAGTCACCTTTGCGGATGTGGCTGTGTTGTTCACCCCAGAAGAATGGATGTTTCTAGACTCTGCCCAGAGAAGCCTGTACAGAGATGTGATGCTGGAGAACTATAGAAACCTGGCCTCCGTGGGTAAGGCCAGGCTTGTTGCCTTATCTACACACTCCTGCAGCACCTATGGGTTCCTGGAGGTGTGCTGGTTTGGGAAATCAAGAGGTGAAAAAAACAGACAAATCCTGCTCTCATGGTGCTTACAGCTTAGGGGCTCCCCTGTGGAAATGAAGGTATCTTTGCTGCTGTTTCTCCATGGTTAAAAGTTTCTGGGCTTTTCAAGTGTGTCTCTGAGTGAGGCCCTGGGTTTTGGGGACTGGAGAATCCCATTGTCCTTTGGGACCCAGTGAGGGAGCTTATACTTTGGTTCCTTAGTGTAAGAGCCCTGCCATGCCCGTGAGAATGCAGGCAGGCTCATTTTGCTCTTCCCATCCCCGGTGCGCCTAGAGACTTCAGAATATCAACCCTGGTTAGTGGCAGGCACGGTCTGCTCACACCCTGCATCTTTCCCATGAGCAGGAGATCAGCTAGGCAAACCCAGTACGTTTTCCCATTTGGAGCCAGGAGAAGAGCTGTGGCCCCCTGAGAGAAGAAGCTTCCCAGGAACCTGTCCAGGTGAACAGCAGGCAGATCAGGGAGCAACAGCTCTGACCGAAAGATGAGTGTTAGGTTTGGAAATTGTCAGTAAGGGAAACACTTCGAGTGCCCTTGACGGGTGCTGCTTTACTGGATTCCACCTCCTTCCTTTTTGTCCATAATACTCTACTCTGGTTTCATAGAATGATTTGTCCTACCTCCTCTTCACATTTATCATTTCCATGTGTATAGTTTATCATGTGTGGATTTTATGTGTATATAGCGTGTGTATGCTTATCCAGTGCCTCCCCAGTGTATCTTCTTGCCAATACTTTCTCTCAATTTCAGTCTCAATCTTCATAGAACTCTTTCTCAGTAACTTAACATCTACCATCTCTGTTCCTTGTTCCTATGGTTATGTGACTCCTTACATGGCCAAATACCTTAAAATTTCCTTTATTCTTTGATACATTCTTCCTCTTCACAATTTCCTCCCATAGTTAGAATCAATATTTATTTTTTATTTTTTTAAAAAAGATTATTTGTGTGTGTGAGAGAGAGAGTATTTGTGCACATGAGTTGGGGGAGGCGCAGAGGGAGAGGAAGAGAGAGAATCTCAAGCAGACTCCCTACTGAGCGCGGAGCCTGATGCGGGGCTCGATCTCACAGCCTTGAGACCATGACCTGAGCCGAAATCAAGAGTTAGACACCCAGGCGCCCTAGAATCAGTATTTAAAAAAGAAAATCCACATGTTCTCTGCTTAGTTTTTTGGTTGCCTTGGTCCCACAGTTTCCTCCCCCGTGTACTTAATTTTTCTATCCTTATTCATTCCAGAACCTCAGCATCAACCCCAAGATCCAATTTCTAACCAAGATATTTTTGCAGAGATTCCATCCATTGGCATGAAAAGGGTAAGGTGCCCAAGGATTCTTCTTGGTCCTCTGTTGTAGGACAAGTCTGGGATTGCTGTAGATTAGAAAAGCAGCACAAGAGGCCAGAGAGAGAGAGAGAGATTGAGAGAGAGAGAGAGAGAGAGAGAGGGAGAGAGATTCAAGGCAAGTGGTGTTTACCCAGGGGAAAGCAGGTTCTTGGGAGAGAGTCTGTGAATGTCATGAGTTGGGGAAAACCCTCCATGTAGATCAAGGCATGTGTTTCCCAGAGTTTCCACAAGCAGCCATGTTTATAAATGTGAACAGACATCAAGTGTTTAAAACTTAATTTGCCTTTAACTCGGCAAAACTCTGCGTCTAAGAGACCTCACAAACGTAAGAAAAATGACAGCTCTCTGTGGCAGAGCATCCACTTGAAGGGACTCAGGGTAGAAATGGTCCAGACGCACTAAAATGGTAAAAGCTTCAGCTATAGAAATGCCTTTTCCCTACACGTAATTCACCTGGGGGAGAGTCTGTGAACGTAATAGAGTCTTTGGTCTTCCTATTTTCCTCACTTGACAGGAGCAACCCCAGACTGGAGAAAAACTCTATAAATACAGTGAACTTGGGGAACCCTTTCACGGCATTGAACCACTTTTTCAGTACCAGAGAATTCATGCTGGAGGCGACCCCTATGAATGCCACGAGGGTGGAAAATCCTTCTTCCAGCCTGCTCACCTGATTGTACCTGATAAGATCCGTCATGGGGACAAAACCTATGCATGTAACAAATGTGAGAAATCCTTCAGATACAGCTCCGACCTGATCAGGCACCAGAAGACTCATACCACGGAGAAGTGCTTTGAATGTCCGGAGTGTCGGCAAGCCTTCAAGTACTCCTCGAATCTGCGGCGCCACCTGAGGACTCACACTGGGGAGAAGCCCTTCGAATGTGCTCAGTGTGGGAAAACCTTCACAAGGAACTTTAACCTGATTCTGCACCAGCGAAACCACACGGGCGAGAAGCCCTATGAGTGTAAGGACTGTGGGAAAGCGTTTAATCAGCCGACCTCTCTGAGGAGCCACCTGAGGACTCACACCGGGGAGAAGCCGTTTGGATGCAGTCAGTGTGGGAAAGCCTTCAGGGAGCACTCGTCGCTGAAGACGCACCTGCGCACTCACACCAGGGAGAAGCCGTATGCGTGTAACCAGTGTGGGAAGCCCTTCCGGACGAGCACTCATCTCAACGTCCACAAGAGGATACACACCGGGGAGAAACTGTATGAGTGCGCTACTTGTGGGCAGGTCTTGAGTCGCCTCTCAACACTCAAGAGTCACATGCGAACTCACACTGGAGAGAAGCCCTATGTGTGTCAGGAATGTGGGCGAGCTTTCAGTGAACCTTCATCCCTCAGGAAACACGCGAGGACCCACACCGGCAAGAAGCCCTATGCCTGTCAGGAATGCGGGCGAGCCTTTGGTCAGTCTTCACACCTTATCGTGCACGTGAGAACTCACACTGAGGGGAAACCCTATGAATGCAATCAGTGTGAGAAGGCCTTCAGGCACAGCTCTTCACTTACTGTGCATAAAAGGATTCATGCCGGGAGAGAGAACGTTAGGAACGGTGGCCTGCCTTTATCAGTGTCCCATCCGTGTGGGGGGCCCCTTGCTGACTGACTTCCAAGTTTTAAAAGTATACACGTTCTGGGCTGTAATCCTCTCTCGTAGTACTGGTTTAGCTATGTCACGTGTTTTGATGTATAATATTTTCATTTTGGTTAAAATCTAAATATTGTCTTAGTTTCTATTATCACTTACTCTTTGGCCTGTGAGTTATTTGTAATTAGATTTTAAAATAACAGGACATGGGTTTATTTTTATAGAGGTATAATTACTTATAGTGAAATGCATAAATCTTAAGTGTACAGTTGGAGGACTCTTGACAGGTGCGTACACATATATATGTAACCAACACGCCATTTAAGATAGAGAACATTTCTATCCTTCTGGAGAGTTCCTGCATGTGTATGGGTGTTTTTTTTACTTTATAACTTTCTGCTGTTGGTTCTAATTTAATTACATTGTGAGCAGAGAATGTGGTCTTTATGTTATTGAATGTTAGGTATCTGTTTTTAGTGTGGTGTATCCTGTTAGTTGCCTGTCAAAATTGCCCCTTCTTCCTTACAAAAGGACTTAGTTTTTTGGTTCAGATTGGTAACGTGCACTGTTAAAAAAAACCTCTATCTCCCAGTCCTTGCAGCTGGAGGAGGGGCCGCGTGCCCAGTCCTGGCCTTTCTAAGTCTGAGAAGTCATTGGGTGTGATACCTGGGAAGGATGTTGCAAAGGACATTTAGCTTGATCCCTGCACGTCTTGCCCTTTGTACAAACAGACATGATGTCTGGTGCTAGAGGAACCATCCCATGACCATGAGGGTAAAAGCTACAGGCTGAGGAGAGTGTGGCCAGAAGTCACACCAACCCGTTTCCCCGTGGTATCTTTGTGTAGCTGCCCTGGACTGTTTGTTTGTGGACATCTTGTGACATGAAAAAGATGCACTTCTTACTGGCACATGACATTGCTGTTTTGGGGATGGGGTGGGAGAGGGTAGGATGGGTTTATTACCACCAAATGCAGTATCTCACTGATGCACTTAGTATAGGGTCAGTTTTCATAAATGCTTCATGGGTGGTTGAAATCAACGTATTGTATTACACATATGTCCACTAGATTTGAGCATATTATTTGTGTTTCAAAATCTTCTACACATTTATACATATTGGTCAATATCAGTCTGGGCTGCATAACAAAATTACCATCGATTGAGTGGCTTATAAACAACAGAACTTTTTTCTCATAGTTCTGGAGACTGGAGTCCAAGATCAAGATGCCAGCAGATTGCTCTCTGGTGAGGCCTGCTTCATGGTTCATAGATGGCTGTCTTCTTGCCTGGTCCTCACATGGCAGAAAGAGAGCAGGGGAGCGCTGGGGGGTGTCTTGTAGAAGGGCACTCGTCCCATTCATGACGGTTCCACCCTTATAACCCAATCACCTCCCGAAGTCCCACCTCCTAATACCATCACAGTGGGAATTAGGCTTCAGAATGTGAATGGTGGTGGTGGGGGGGAGGGCACAAACATTCAGTCCACATCCGTCTATGATGTGCGTACTGAGACAGCTATGTTAAGCTCTCCCACCATGATTGCTGAATAAATCTTGTAATTCTGTCAATTTTTAAATTTATATATTTTGAAGCAGTCAAATGAGAAGATTTTTGATATTTAATGTTTTCAGCAAATTGTTCCTTTTATTCTTCTAGTGACCATCTTTCTCCCTAGTGATGAATATTCAACTATTCATTTTCATAACAGCAAGTCATTGTTTGGAGCTTACTGTTAGCAGATAGTAGATACTACCCTAAGCTTTGAATCTTCTAAGTTACTTGTTTTGCACAATGACACTTTGAGGTAGACACTATTATCATCCCCAGTTTATGGATGAGGAAACTGAGGCCAAGCCAGTCGAGGTGAGTTAACCAAGGTCATACAGGTGGTAAGTGATGGAGTCTGGCTCCAAAATGCAGGGGCTGTACACAGTGCTTTACTCTGGGGGACTTTTCTTCCTTTGTATCTGTTCTCAGTCTCACAGGGATCTGTTTTTGTGTGTTGTTGGGTTTTCTTTTTTCTTTTTCTTTCTAGAGAGAGACGGAGAGAAGAGGGAGGCGCAGAAGGAGAGGGAGAGAGAGAGTCAAGCAGGCTCTGTACCCAGCGTGGAGCCCAACGCAGAGCTCGATCTCACAACCCTCAGATCACAACCTGAGCCAAAATTGAGTCAGATGCTTAACCGACTGAGCCACCCAGGTACCCCTGTTTCTGTGTTTTAAAATTCTAGGGGCGCCTGGATGGCTCAGTCGGTTAAGCATCTGCTTTCGGCTCAGGTCATGATCTCCAGGTCCTGGGATCCAGCCCCACGTCAGGCTCCCTGCTCAGTGGGGAGTCTGCTTCTCCCTCTCTCTCTGCTCCTCCGCCCCCGCTTGTGCTCTCTCTCTCAAATAAGTAAATAAAAAAAAAAAATCTAACAGTTATAACTTGTGTAAAAGTTCATAAATCCTAGTGCACGCCTTGTGAATTTTATATATGTCTACACCACCATATCAGGATGTTAAACATTTTATCTCCCCAGAAGCTTCCCTTGGGCCCTACCCTGGCCAATAAGCCCCATCCAGAGGTAATAAGTATTCCGATTTCTGTCACCATAGATTTGTTTTTCCTGTTCATAGAAATGGAACCCACACTCTACCCTCTTGTGGCTGCCTTTTCATTTAATATAGTGTCTGTGAAATTTATTTTGTCACATTATCAATAGTTTATTCTCTTTAAAAACTGTTGGGTAATATTCCATTGTCTGAATATCCCACAGCCAAAACATTCCATTCTGTTTATGGACATTTGGGTTCTTTCCAGGTTTTTCTGTTAGGAATAAAGCTGCTGTGAATGTTCTTGGACACGTCTTACTGTGAACAAATGTTCTCATTTTTCTCAGGTGTCAGCCTGGAGCAGAATCGCTGGGTCATTGTGTAAGCAGACTGTGAGCTGTGGTATATACTGCCAACAGTTTTCCAAAGTGGTTGAAACAACTTTTACATCCATTATCAATGCATGAAAGTTTGGTTTGCTTCACGTCCTGATAATGCATGCTACTGTTAGTTTAATTAAATTACTTAAAAACTTTTTTATTGTTATGTTAATCACCATACATTACATCATTAGTTTTTGATGTAGTGTTCCATGATTCATTGTTTGCGTATAACACCCAGTGCTCCATGCAG